CCTTATTAAAGCTTCTCCATCAATTCACCCTTCAGGTTTCTGGTTTTATCTCTGATCAGGTTCTCCTGAACCTGAAAGGACCAGCGTTTTGTTGCTGGGAAAGATACTGTCCCAGCAATGTATGTCCTGACCCTGGCATCGCTGCTGGCCCTTGGGGACAAGGAGGTATGGTACTGCAGAATGCAGAAATAATACAGAAATACTACACAAACTCAGTTTTCTCTGAGTATTTCTGTAGTATTTCGCTGGGTTTTGTTTTGTTTTTCGCTAGGTTTTGTTTTGCTTTATACTATCTCTCAATATTTGTGCCTTGCCTTCTTGAAAAGCGGGTGGAAATTAAATTTAGAGTATGAAAGGAGCCGGATAAATAGCTCTGCTTGCCAAAACCTTCCCTTAATCCAAAGAACTAGCACCGCATGGGCAGCAAAAATGTAATCCTCCTGGCCCTGCCTGGCCTGGGGTTCCTCGGGGAGGGAAATACATCTGGAAGGGTGAGAGGGTTAATCTGCCTGTCATGTTCCCTGGTGGCTTTAAACCTGCCCATGCGGAGGCCAAAATGTGTCTGTGTGGGGGGGAAAAAAACCAGTGACGTGGTGAAATGCGTCTTATTTTCCAAACCGTACCAGAACTTGCACATTAAGATGCGTTTTAGGAATTTCTTTAAATAGGGGATTTCACACTGGATGAGTTGAATAGCTATTTTTAAAGGAGTGTGTAGGAAAAGCAGGATATATCACATGTAATTTTATCCTCACCGCTGTCCGTTGCCAGTTTTGAACCCCGTTAATTCATTCCTTCGCTGAGAGGCTTCATCCCTCTGATGGAGGGACTCCATCTCTGATGGATGGAGTCTTAGCATTTTTTAAAAAACATGGGTTTTGAGCACCAAAAAAAAACTTCAGGTGGAAGAAGTAGGTCAGCAGCTTGGTGTAAAAAGAAATCTCATACCCTACCTAGGATATATTCCAGCCAAGTGGATTAGACCCAAGTGCAGCACTGAAAAAGTACTTTTCTTTGTAGAAAACACAAAACCTTGCTGCTTTTAGGCATTCCCTGTTACTTGTGCTTAACTGGTCAGCTGGGATAGAGTGTCTTTTGGGAGAATTTGGGTAGCGGGGAGAAACTCTTTGCTTGTAACAGAAGATTGCATGAACTAGAAAATGTGCGTGGGCAAAAAAATTTCCAGAAAGCCTCTTTGGAGTGTTTTTGGTGGGTTTTCTGTTCCCATAGATGTTCGTCCCAGGTGTCAGATCTTTTATGTAAAGGCACAAGAAAAGAATGACTCAGATTTTAACAGTAATTTAGTCATGACTAACGGAAGCCTTTGATTTTCTTGCTAAGCTCTTCAGAAATGCAATCCACATTGAGCGAAGTATGTTTTTTATAATTATTCATGTTCTGGTTAAGCTTACTTTGACAAATTGATAAATATTTATAAAGGAAAGGGAGCTGTGGTAGAAGAGGACTCAGGCTTCCGCAGAAAAGATCTGCCAGTCAGTCTGGTCCATCTCCCCACATCTCATCTCCTACTCTCAATGCTGGTCCTAAAGTACAGCAAAATTTAGGAGACAGTTTCATTCTTTCAGATTTTTTTTTCCCAAAGACACTTATTTATGTGTGTGTTTATTTGTTACATATTTACCTATTTATGTCTGTTTGTGAACTGACATAAATTCAGGAGGGAGAAGCATGTGTTAATCCCACTGGGGGACCCGCCGCAGACTGAGCTTGTTCTATGAATTTTCTCTACATATTAAAGTGGAATGAATATGTATTTATTTCTGGCAGCAAATAGTCATGCCATAGTATTCCTAGTCCTTGAAAACATACCACTGTCATGGGCTTCTTTACCTCGATGACATCTGGGACAGTATCATCTAATTTGCTCTCTGATGGCAGTTTGGGGCTCTGTTTATAACCAGGCTTTTTAGTTTCTCCTAATTGATGGAGATTGATGAAATTATTGAACTTATTCTAGGCTTTGGATGATTTTATGCTGCTAATAGGGTAATGACTCTTGGACACAAGAGGAAGATTTTTCAGAATTAGAATAATGGGCTGGATGGGGCTTGGAGCAACCTGGTCTGGTGGGAGGTGTCCCTGCCCAGGGCAGGGGGTGGAACTGGAAGGTCTTTAAGGTCCCTTCCAACCTAAACCATTCTGTGATTCTATGTGGCCTGTTGTCATCAGAAGAGGGTTCTTGATGAGGCCATAAATCTGTGTTTCCCACTGGCCTGGGTCTGGCGACAGCCAGCAATGGATGCTGAGAGGAGAGAGGGCCTGGGGTGAGGTGGTGCAGAGTTGTTTTCTGCCCTTTGCTCTTCTTCATCCCTTTCTGGAGGGAAGCTGTGCAGGTGCTGTAGAAGACAAATCCCTCAGCTCTTTTCCAGTGCTGCCTCGTAGAGGATGGATCATACAGCCCTGTGTGCTGGCACGTGTGCTGACATGGCAGGGAGTTACGCCTGGCACGGATCTGAGCCCTCCGGGTGCTTTGGCTGGTGATGAAGGGATGGAGATATGTGTGTTGGGTGCAGGAACCCTGAGGAAATGAATTCCAACCTAAACCATTCTGTGATTCTATGTGGCCTGTTGTCATCAGAAGAGGGTTCTTGATGAGGCCATAAATCTGTGTTTCCCACTGGCCTGGGTCTGGCGACAGCCAGCAATGGATGCTGAGAGGAGAGAGGGCCTGGGGTGAGGTGGTGCAGAGTTGTTTTCTGCCCTTTGCTCTTCTTCATCCCTTTCTGGAGGGAAGCTGTGCAGGTGCTGTAGAAGACAAATCCCTCAGCTCTTTTCCAGTGCTGCCTCGTAGAGGATGGATCATACAGCCCTGTGTGCTGGCACGTGTGCTGACATGGCAGGGAGTTACGCCTGGCACGGATCTGAGCCCTCCGGGTGCTTTGGCTGGTGATGAAGGGATGGAGATATGTGTGTTGGGTGCAGGAACCCTGAGGAAATGAAAACTGGAGGTGCCTGTGCCACCACCAGAGCTGCAGGCGGGCTCCTCTACAGTGCTGGCATCGGGTGTGAGTGTTTCCTTTGAGTTTGTTTTATTCTCTCTTTCTCTCTCATTGTTTTTTTTTTTCCCAAAGCAATCCAGTTTAGAGGGAATCAGGTTCTTCACAGCACTTTTCTTGTGTGTGGATGAGCCGATGAGCAGCTGGCTCCCAGAGACTGTGATGTCCTCAGACCTCTGCTGTCGGAGGCACTGCCCTGTATTCAGATGCTGAGAGTTAGTGTGGGTTTTGTTTCTTGAAGCTTTTTTTGATTTAAATAGGGAGAAGTGCAAGCTAAGTAGCGTTCAACCTGGACGTGGTGGTATCAAGCTGAATCTGAACCCTGGACGGCACCGGTGTGTGGTGGCCGTAAGCCAAACCGAGCTGCCAGGCTGGAGAATTCAGACTTTGTGGGGTAAAGTCTGTAAAATCAGAAATTGCTGTGTCAGATGCGCTTTCAGGACCTGCTGCCGGGGCTTTGAACCCTCCCAGCCTCGCAGGCTGCCTGCTTTTGGGGACCCTAAGAGCTTGTCGTGGCAGAGAAGAGAATTTGGTGCCCAGTTTTGATGCCACATGTGCTCCTCATCTCCTGGGTGGATGACTAGGCTCTGGCAGCCCTTTTTTTTGCAGGATGTCAGAGTTGCTTCTTGCTCTCCTTCGTGCCTGGCATGAAGAGATCATCTGAATACAGTTAAAAATCTTTAATTTCTCAGAGTGGACATCATGTTAGATGTCTAACATCACCAAGCCTGAAACCATCACACGGCTTTTTGTGGTGGCTTTGATGGAGAAGTTTATGAACATTGAGCCTTTTTCTACCTCTGAGATAATCCTTCCAAGCAGGGGAGAAAATTTGTCAGCACAAAAAGTGGCTCTCCTCTGCTTTGGGGAAAAGGGAAGGGAAAGGGAAAAAAAGGGAAGGGAAGGGAAGGGAAGGGAAAGGGGAAAAAAAGGGAAAGGAAGGGGAAAGGGGAAGGGAAGGGAAAGGAAAGGAAAGCGAAAAGGGAAGGGAAAGGGAAAAAAGGGAAAAGGAAGGGGAAAGGGAAAGAAAAGTGAAAAGGGAAAAGGAAAGGAAAGGGAAAGAAAAGTGAAAAGGGAAAAGGAAAGGAAAGGGAAAGGAAGGGGAAAGGGAAAGAAAAGTGAAAAGGGAAAAGGAAAGGAAGGGGAAAGGGAAAGAAAAGTGAAAAGGGAAAAAGAAAGGAAAGGGAAAGGAAGGGGAAAGGGAAAGAAAAGTGAAAAGGGAAAAGGAAAGGGAAGGGAAAGGAAGGGGAAAGGGAAAGGAAATGAAAAAAAAGGGAAAGGAAGGGGAAAGGGAAAGAAAAGTGGAAAGGGAAAAGGGAAAGGAAAGGGCCCACAACCCTCAGTGTTCTCTCTATATAATCATGAATGTAGCCTTTTTTATGAGCACTAAATTCCCAACAAGAAAGGGTTTGGAGCACTCCAAGGGTTTTTTCCCCCCTGTTCTGGTTTCTCCTGCTGCTTTCCCTGCTGTGTTCCGTTCCCCTTCGCGCTTTTGTGCAGTTCAGAGTGGCTGCAGTGTCACCCCCTGCAGAAGGCTGTCATTCGGTGGCTGAAGCGGTGTGTGCGTGCCCGTGTAATAATAAATAATGTTTATTTATGGTTAAACCTTAGAATGGCATGCAAATGCAGCTCCTTTTCTTCTGTGAGAGCCAGCTCAAGCTGTTCTTGGAGACCTTTCATACTGTACTGCTGAAAAGGGCCCATTTGAAGAAAAATTCTCTGCAAGTAGAACCCGTTAGCTTTCATCCCGTATTATTAGACGTCTTTCAGGGCTTGCTCAGGCTGCAGAGCCTTGTGAATACTGGTTACTTTTAACATGATTTTACTCAATATTGAATTGTCCTTTCCCTGACAGAGAGCTACATGACATCTGCTGCCAAGCCTTATGACAATGGACACTAAGTTATAAATCAGCTGTGATAGCTCCGTAGTTTATCATCAAAACAGTTTGTTATTCAAAAATATAATCTTTTTTTCTTTCAGGTTGCCCATCTGAAGAAATTGGATTGAAGAACAAGAGGTTTTTTTGTAACGGGCTGCTCTTTAATCTCAATAATGAAGAAAAGCAGAAGTGTGATGACAGTAACTGCAGATGAGGTAAGGTTCTTCTAAAGGCATGTTTTCTTTTTCCCAGTGCTTCATGAAAATGAGTGAAATTAAAAGTTTGTTTGGCCTTATTTTGTAAATATCAGCTGCTTTTGTTTGCAGCTCATGTAATAAGCAGAAAATAAGCCCTGCCCATTTAAAAACAAACCAACCAAACCCCACACAGCCAGAAGTTTAGAGGAATCTTATGCAGAAGAAATATTTCACTCTTTGTTGGTCAGTGTAACGCTCACGTGCCACATTTATAAGTGTTCCAACATCTTTCCCACTGTAGCTGCTGAACACCTAATGCGATGATGCGCGTGTTATTCCATTACTACACTTGCTAATCATCAACATAATCCCCTATTAATTAAACTCCAGATCCCTTTCTCTGGAGAATTGTATCAGTTTGTAATGAATGGTGTGATAACCACAGCCTTTAATTGACTCGTTTGTCACAGCTGGGGCTTGCCAAGGATGGAAAACCATGTGGAATGTGTATGAAAATACAGTGGAGGAGTGGAACCTAATAGTTAATGTATCCTATAGAACTCCTTCAATAAATAAGTGCTTCTTTTACACTCTTAGACCCTGTGTTGCACTGCTTCATAGTCAATTTGCCTGAGCATGATGCTCAGTCCTTGCTGGGCATCTGCATGAAAGCAAGCATCATCTAGTGGGAAGCTAGAAAAACTCTGCTGTACACTTTTTTAAAGTAATAACAAAAAAATCACACAGTTTTATAAGTAAAGGCAAGTTAAGTTATATAGAAGGCAAGGTTCTCTTTCTGGGAGTATTTTTGACCTGATTTTGTGCTATGAAAGAGTAGGGTTTGGCTCACTGAAGACCTCTAGCATGTTTTTGGAAGCATAGCATGTCAAGTTTTGTAAACTTCTATCTAGCTCACTATGATGTTGATCCCTGGTCACAAATCTCCACCAGCAGCATGTTTTTGGAAGCATAGCATGTCAAGTATTGTAAACTTTAATCATCTAGCCCACTACAATATTGATCCCCGTTCACAAATCTCCACCAGTGTGCCTTATAGCACTTCATGCTCTATTCAAGGTGTAAAGTAAATGTGACCCATGTTGTTTCCTCTCTGGATGCCTCACGTGGTTGTGGGATGAGCAAGCAAGTAAGGAAAGTGGAGCAAACTGGTTGGATGTTGCTCTCCTGTCAGGCTTGTCTTTCCATCCCATGTTGAGAGTCCTTGCTGGGAGGTAAGAGAGTATCAGAGTTGTTTAATAGTCTCATGACTACGGAAAACATTATCAGTTACTCATAATTATCATTATGAGTTGTCACTCATTTTTTCAGTGAGGTGAAGTAGATCTTTCTGCACTCAGTGATGGACACGGTGGTGGCTGTTCATCAGGAAATTGAACCCAGGGCTTGGAAAGGTCTGAGAAGGGTGGGAAGGGCAGGGCAGAGACCAAAATTCAGGAGCAGGTAAAGAAGAAAAACATAGAGGGATTGCCACATATATATATATATCCACCTATACAATAACCCCCCAGCAACTACTGGTAGCTCATCAAATGCAATAAAGAAATATTCACATTTATATTGGAAAATTACATTTAACTACCTAAATTCTCTTAAGTAAGATCAAAACCGATCTGGGAGACCTTCTGGCTTGATTCTGAGAAGACTGAGGGCCACTTCTGAGGTCATGGTGGTGCTTTTAAATAAAAATCAGTAGAATCTAGGAGAGGAAAAACTGCTTCAACTGTTCAAACTCTTTTTTTGGGACTAATTCTATTAGGAACACCAGACATAGGGTAGGGTGGCCTAGCTGGAAGTTCTCACTGAAGGGCTTCTGGATAATTTGGGATGTGTCTAAGCCCACTATTCTTGACACCTTTCTCTGTCTGGTGGTTCATCCCAAAAAAGTGGCAAACGAGTATGTTTGTGCTGTGGGGAGGAAAGATACTTAAGATGGATGTTGAGTGGAATGTTCTCTGAAAGAGTTCAAAATATCAGAGGTTTAACGTATCACTGAGGTGACCTGGATTATTGAAGGGTTCAAATAGATTAGAGAGTTAGATCCTGAATTTAGCTTAGACAAGTTATGAGTGAATTTTTAAGTTCATTCACAACTTCATAAAATGACAACGCAGCAGAGTCAGGCTCTGCCAAGATTTCATCATCATTTATCTTTTGTGAGTAGCGATGACTGTAGAACAACAATTAAATGTGTTTTATCCCAGTGGAGGAAAACATTTATTTGCAGAACTTCAGTGGCTTTTCTGTCTTTGCAGAACGCTCTGGATTACCTGGAGTGTGGGCTGAGTAAGTCCTACAGTACTTCCAGCCATGCCCTGGGCATAGACCTCTGGAGAGGCAGAAGATGTTGTTCTGGAAATTTGCAGTTACCGCCGCTGTCCCAACGACAGACAGAGAAGGCAAAGACACCTGACAGGGACATCGTCTGCAGACCAACAACTCTGCCGTTGCTGACACCTCCAAGCATTGCCATCACCACCTACCAAGACTGGTAGGTTATTTCCCTTTCTTCTGAGTCTCATGTAGATGTGTTTTATTTTTTTAGTTTGGGTGTTTTTTGTTCTGTTTTCTGGTTTTGTGTTGGCTTTTTTCTTTGTTTCTGAAAGACACTGGATAACTATCTTGTATATATTAATCAGTGTTGTTGATGCCTGTCAGATGGTGTATCACGGAGGCAAGTTTACAAAGTAATTGCCTTTTTTTGAAATGATACTTCTATTGAAATCCCTTCTGTTCACTTTTTTTTTGGAGGATCTTAATGATCTTAATGAAACTTTTGTGTCGTAAACTCTGATCTCGGCCAGAGGATTTGTGTTACCAGCTTTTCACCCACAGAAGAGTTTGGGATGGTGGTAGGCTCTTCTACAACAAGTGGAGGAAAAGGCTTTAGCTCTCTGGCTATTTCCTGTCCAAGTGTTAGAAGGAAAGCTTGGAAATGCATTCGAATCTGATGTTAAGCTCAAGAAAAGTCCTAAAGAAACTATCAGGGACCTGATTAAAAGGGAGTTGCCAAGAGGTGAGTTCCAAAACAGAAACTGAACATTTGGTGCCGAAACGAGGAAATTAATCTGGAGGGAGGGAGGGAGGGAAGACAAAGCCCAGAGTGTTCATGTTCTGGAATTGCAAGGGTAGATTTTTAAAGGCAAAATAAGGTTAGATGCCCAGGTTGCTGTCTGAGTCTTGAAAGGACACTGCAGTGCAACCTTAAACACTCTCTTCTCAACTTCAGATTTCAGTTGTGCTTTAGATTATAGTTTTTAATTGCTCCACTCTCCATTTAATTCGCTGACTGTGAGACACATTCACAGCGTTATTTCCAAGTCTGAATCTGGTTTTAGGTTCCGTTAAACTCAGCTCTCTTCAGAGCTGGCATTTCAGTTTGCGTTTGGACAATTACAGATTTGTTTGTTAGAGTCCTTTAAAAACAATTCTCCTATTGAGGACAGGATTTTTAAACTGTGCACTCAGAGAGATGAGAAAAGAAATCCAAGAGGAATTAGCAGGGGCTTTTGTTCAATTTTTTGCATTTAATTGCTGTGGATAAATTTAACGAAATGAGTTAATCTCATTTCAGGTGGATTGTGACTTTTGATGATAAAAGGGTTGATTTACCTTCATGAGCATTTTACGAGTGTTCCCTTTTGTGTGTCTGCAGTGATTTAATCTTGAACTGCAAGACAGCTGAGACCCTGTTCGTAAGGTCTGGGTCTAAGAATGAATTGGTTCTGATCTTTGCATGTACCGTCATGTGTGATTTGGGAAAAATGGGAGGAATTGCACTGGATTTGTCATTAGTTTCCCGTGTAACACAAGGGGGCACCGCTGCTCCTCTCTTCTCTTACAGCCACACCGAGGTGTGTGTGTTGTGTGGCACAATATGGGTTTTTCTTGAACGATGCTGCACTCAAAGAGGAAACATAGCTGATATTCAGCTTACTGTGATTTCTTTTCTGCTGTTAATCTCTTATAAGTGAGCAGAAAGCTTCCGACTTCGCTGTTTTGCTTGAATCCATCCCTCTATTGACAGCCCAGTAGGGAGCTGGGAGTTACTGGTTGGGGTGGCTGCGATGCAGGGTGTTCCAACGTGGGCGTCTTGGCATCTCCCTCACCCTTCTGACTTGGGCACGGTTCGATTGGCTGCTCTACCAGCTGGGAAGAAAATTGGTCTGATTTTTCCCATTTTCTGTTCAAGTTTTATCCATCAAGGGCTTTTGAACATTTTGGCCCTGTTCCCTACCCCATGCTGACCCTTCCCGAAGCAATTCCCAGTTGCATGGGCCCTGACCACGCTCTTGGGGAGCACAGTCACCGTGTAGATTTCTTTGTGTAGGAGAGGTGCAAGCAGGATCTGGTCCCGAAACTCTTTGGGCTTCTATATTGTTGTTCAGTTCTGCATGAAATATACCCCCGAGGCAGGTTATATTTGTATAAGCCCAGTACGTGCCGTTGTGTTGAAACAGCTTTGGAATGATACGAGCATTAAGAGACTGAGTGAGTGGGCAATAAAGCGATAGGGAGATTTCACTGCAGATAAATACAAAGTGGTGGATCTGAGTGCGAGAGAATTGTAGCTGCAAAACAGTATTAACTGCTCAGGGGCAAGTTCCTGGGTGTAGGGTACAAGTCCAAAAGAGCTGCAAGCTTATTAATGGTTAAAAAACATATGAATCGTTAAAGGCTTGAAGGAAAAGAATAGTGGATAAAACATAGAACATCAGGATGTCATGGTAGGAACCCATAACTTGGTAAAATGTTGCATATAGTGTACAGTTTTGGTTCTTCCTCTCCAAAATGGGTATAGCAGAACTAAAAAGAGTTAAAGGCCTCTAAGATGATTGAACATGTGGAGCAGCTTCTGCACTGGGATTGACCAAGGAGTCTGGAACTCTTCAGCATGGAAAAACCAGTTGAGGAAAGGGATAGGACCGAGATCTTGCTGGTGGTATGAAGATGTGGTTGATCTATTGCTTATTGTCCCTTCTAATGTGACAACGAGGGGCCATCAAAAAGCTAAGTAGCGTTCAACCTGGACGTGGTGGTATCAAGCTGAATCTGAACCCTGGACGGCACCGGTGTGTGGTGGCCGTAAGCCAAACCGAGCTGCCAGGCTGGAGAATTCAGACTTTGTGGGGTAAAGTCTGTAAAATCAGAAATTGCTGTGTCAGATGCGCTTTCAGGACCTGCTGCCGGGGCTTTGAACCCTCCCAGCCTCGCAGGCTGCCTGCTTTTGGGGACCCTAAGAGCTTGTCGTGGCAGAGAAGAGAATTTGGTGCCCAGTTTTGATGCCACATGTGCTCCTCATCTCCTGGGTGGATGACTAGGCTCTGGCAGCCCTTTTTTTTGCAGGATGTCAGAGTTGCTTCTTGCTCTCCTTCGTGCCTGGCATGAAGAGATCATCTGAATACAGTTAAAAATCTTTAATTTCTCAGAGTGGACATCATGTTAGATGTCTAACATCACCAAGCCTGAAACCATCACACGGCTTTTTGTGGTGGCTTTGATGGAGAAGTTTATGAACATTGAGCCTTTTTCTACCTCTGAGATAATCCTTCCAAGCAGGGGAGAAAATTTGTCAGCACAAAAAGTGGCTCTCCTCTGCTTTGGGGAAAAGGGAAGGGAAAGGGAAAAAAAGGGAAGGGAAGGGAAGGGAAGGGAAGGGAAAGGGGAAAAAAAGGGAAAGGAAGGGGAAAGGGGAAGGGAAGGGAAAGGAAAGGAAAGCGAAAAGGGAAGGGAAAGGGAAAAAAGGGAAAAGGAAGGGGAAAGGGAAAGAAAAGTGAAAAGGGAAAAGGAAAGGAAAGGGAAAGAAAAGTGAAAAGGGAAAAGGAAAGGAAAGGGAAAGGAAGGGGAAAGGGAAAGAAAAGTGAAAAGGGAAAAGGAAAGGAAGGGGAAAGGGAAAGAAAAGTGAAAAGGGAAAAAGAAAGGAAAGGGAAAGGAAGGGGAAAGGGAAAGAAAAGTGAAAAGGGAAAAGGAAAGGGAAGGGAAAGGAAGGGGAAAGGGAAAGGAAATGAAAAAAAAGGGAAAGGAAGGGGAAAGGGAAAGAAAAGTGGAAAGGGAAAAGGGAAAGGAAAGGGCCCACAACCCTCAGTGTTCTCTCTATATAATCATGAATGTAGCCTTTTTTATGAGCACTAAATTCCCAACAAGAAAGGGTTTGGAGCACTCCAAGGGTTTTTTCCCCCCTGTTCTGGTTTCTCCTGCTGCTTTCCCTGCTGTGTTCCGTTCCCCTTCGCGCTTTTGTGCAGTTCAGAGTGGCTGCAGTGTCACCCCCTGCAGAAGGCTGTCATTCGGTGGCTGAAGCGGTGTGTGCGTGCCCGTGTAATAATAAATAATGTTTATTTATGGTTAAACCTTAGAATGGCATGCAAATGCAGCTCCTTTTCTTCTGTGAGAGCCAGCTCAAGCTGTTCTTGGAGACCTTTCATACTGTACTGCTGAAAAGGGCCCATTTGAAGAAAAATTCTCTGCAAGTAGAACCCGTTAGCTTTCATCCCGTATTATTAGACGTCTTTCAGGGCTTGCTCAGGCTGCAGAGCCTTGTGAATACTGGTTACTTTTAACATGATTTTACTCAATATTGAATTGTCCTTTCCCTGACAGAGAGCTACATGACATCTGCTGCCAAGCCTTATGACAATGGACACTAAGTTATAAATCAGCTGTGATAGCTCCGTAGTTTATCATCAAAACAGTTTGTTATTCAAAAATATAATCTTTTTTTCTTTCAGGTTGCCCATCTGAAGAAATTGGATTGAAGAACAAGAGGTTTTTTTGTAACGGGCTGCTCTTTAATCTCAATAATGAAGAAAAGCAGAAGTGTGATGACAGTAACTGCAGATGAGGTAAGGTTCTTCTAAAGGCATGTTTTCTTTTTCCCAGTGCTTCATGAAAATGAGTGAAATTAAAAGTTTGTTTGGCCTTATTTTGTAAATATCAGCTGCTTTTGTTTGCAGCTCATGTAATAAGCAGAAAATAAGCCCTGCCCATTTAAAAACAAACCAACCAAACCCCACACAGCCAGAAGTTTAGAGGAATCTTATGCAGAAGAAATATTTCACTCTTTGTTGGTCAGTGTAACGCTCACGTGCCACATTTATAAGTGTTCCAACATCTTTGCCACTGTAGCTGCTGAACACCTAATGAGATGATGCGCGTGTTATTCCGTTACTACACTTGCTAATCATCAACATAATCCCCTATTAATTAAACTCCAGATCCCGTTCTCTGGAGAATTGTATCAGTTTGTAATGAATGGTGTGATAACCACAGCCTTTAATTGACTCGTTTGTCACAGCTGGGGCTTGCCAAGGATGGAAAACCATGTGGAATGTGTATGAAAATACAGTGGAGGAGTGGAACCTAATAGTTAATGTATCCTATAGAACTCCTTCAATAAATAAGTGCTTCTTTTACACTCTTAGACCCTGTGTTGCACTGCTTCATAGTCAATTTGCCTGAGCATGATGCTCAGTCCTTGCTGGGCATCTG